GAGAGAGAGAGAGAGCGTCCGTCGAGCGAGAAAGGAGGGACATCGAGGATGGGATTGACGCTCCCCCTGCCTCGCAGAGCACGGCGTCGATACAACTGATGAACTGAGGAGGTTACAGCTCGCGGCGGGCCAGCAAGCCCGCATCGTCCCCTGGCCATCGACACTGCCTTCACTCGACATTGTCGAGGTCCAGATCAGCGTAGACGCTCTCGGTCGGTGTCTCCCACGCATGCCGGGCCTCGTCAAACATCTGGCCAAACGCGTACTCGAGCTTGGACCGTCGCTCCATGGCCGCCGTCAGCGCCTCGGGCAGCTGCGGTCGGACGGGGCCATTGTAGTTGGCCGCCGACTGCGATGACTGCGCGTCGCCGCTGCCAGGGCCCAGGCCATTGAAGCCCTGCGACTGCGACAAGGCCGCTCCGTTGGCGCCGCCTCCGCCGTCGTCTTGCTGGTGGTGCGATGCGCTCGCCCCTCCTCCACCGCTGCCCTTCTTGCGCTTGCCCAGGCTCGTCTTGATCTGCCGCAGCCGCTTGTTCCAGCCTGCCTCGATTTCCTTTTCGACCGTGTTGAGGCAGATGACGTAGTCCTGGTACGCCATCCGGTCCACGGCGATCTGGAAGAGGCGCGCCTTGCGCATGCCGTTGATCTTCTGCTGCCGCGCCAGCGCACGCTGCACCATCCGCAGCGTCGTTGAAATCTCGTCGTCGGCCCGGCGCGACCAGTCGACCTCCTCGTCGGCGCCCAGCACGTCGATGGCCTTGAGCTCGCGCTTGATCCGCTCCTCAAATTCGACCATGTCCTGGTCGTGCAGCAGACCTTCGTAGGCAGTGTCGAGCTCCCCCTCGGCATCCTCGTCGCCGCCCTCGTCGTCATCATCGCCGTCGTAGGAAGGTCGCGCGATGTCATTGGCGAGGGCCGACGAGGCGCCGGATTCCGCCCCCGGGATTGAATCGCCCCCGCGCCCCTTGGGCAAAAAGGCCGACACCAGCCGCTCGGTCAGCGGCCCGCTCCTCGCCTCCGTGACCGCCTCGGACCCAAGGCCGAGGTGCTCGTCGCTCATCTGCTTGGCCTTGAAGTGGGCTGGCGGCGCGATATCGAGGTCGACCTTGCCGTTCGCGTCGCCGCCACCGGCCTTGCCACCAGCATCGTGCGAGAGCGCCGCAAGGTCGACGGGCAGCCCGGTGCCGGGTGCGCCCAGACTGATTGACGGTGTCCTCGAGTGGCCTGGGGCCGAACCAGAGAAGGGTGTCCCGTAGAGATCGAGAGCCGTGCTTGCAGCCAGCGCGTCCTCCTCCTCCCAGACCTTCTTGTAGTGGCGGCCGAGGGCAGGCATCTGGAATGGCTCGTTATCGTCTGACTACAAGTCGGAGACCAAGAGCGCGGGCACGAATCGAGAAAGAACAGGTCAGCGTCCATGCCAGAAAACTGTGCCAGGCAGCTCTGCCAAGCCGTCACCTGTGACGCAATAAGCGGAAGACTCACCTTGCTCGATAGCCACGCCAGGTCATCCTCGGTCAGCGTCTTGAAGAAGGCATCGGCATAGTTGTAGAACGTGGTGATGGGCGTCTGCTGCTGGTCGCGCCCGCCCCTCCTTCCGGTGGTAGCTTCCTTGACCAGGCTGGCGCCGGGGCCTACGCCAGGCGTGCCCGGCTGGGCGCTCTCCCGCTCAATCAGCCGATCTCGCTCACGCTCTCGCTCCTTCCAATCTTTGTTGGCAAAGTCCTCGTTGACCTCGCTCGGATGCGTCGGGTAGGGGCGGGGCAGACGCGATGCAGGCAGCACCGGCATGTACGACTGCGGCGTCCTTGCTGGCAGCTCCCATCCGGGAGCGGGACCCGCCGAAACCGGAGGCAGCATCGCGGCCGAGTTCGCCAAAGAGGATGGCGGCAGCGTGTGCAGCGCCGCCGGCTGCGGAGTCGATGGGTGGGGCGATGGCGTGGGCATGATGCTGTTGCGCCGCGTCGACGCCGCCGTTGTCTCAGAGTCCTTGCGCTGAATCGCAGGCGAGGCTGTGGCCGAGGCGGCGACGGATGCCGCCGCTCCCGCCACCGAGTTGCCCGCCGGATTCAGCTTGAGACGCATGCCAAAGCCGCCGCCCGAAGACTTTGGCGTGCCTGCGCTTGCCGCCGCCGCCGCTGCTGCCGAGGATGAGCCGCCTCCGACTTCGGAACCTCTGCGTGATGCCGAACCCGCTTGGCCGCTGCTGCCGCCGCCGAGCCTGGCCGCTGCAACGGCAGGCGTCCCCGTCTTTGAGTGTGCCGCGGCGATGCGACCGGCACTGCCCGCCGCCAACGCTGCCGACTCAAAGTCGGACCCCGAGTCGTCCTCGAACGAGTCGAGGCCAGACTCTTTCCTCCTGCGCTTCTTCTGCCTCGTCCTGCCTGGGCGGCTGGGCAGCGAGTCTTCGTCGAGGTCCCAGTCTGGGTCGGTGCCGGCCACGCTGTCATCGTCGTCGAGTGCGGCGCTCTGGCCGCGCCCGTGCTTGGCTCTGGACCCTGCGGCGGTGCCGGCCTTTCCACCGACCGTCGGTGCATCCTTCCTGCCGTCGGCGTAGAGGCCGTTTGAGGGCCCGACCGTATGTGGAAGGCTCTCTCCGTCGCGTTCCCGCTTGATCTTGATGCGATGCCTCTGGGTGGCCGCAGGGTTCGAGGGCGACGCGTGCGCCGAGGGCGAGGCGGCCAAGGGTTCGGGAGAGGCGAGGTTGAATGCACGTTCCTTTGACTTGTACTTTGTGGCGCTCGCACCTGCTCTGGAGCTGGAGTCGGAGTAGAGGCTGGCGGTAGCGCTGGCGGATGGAGCGGCAGCGGTGGGGCTGAGTCCGGGGGGAGCGAAGAGGTCATGGGCGCTGGAGCTGAAGATGGGGCGGAGGGGGTCGTCTGCGCGGGCGTCGAGCCTGACGAGGCGTGCGGCGTTTTCGGACCTGATGCGGCCGAGGCTACGCGCCAAGTTTGAGAGGTCGTCGAGGGAGGGGATCGAGTCTGTTGATGAGGATGAGGCCAGCTGCCCGGGAAGAAACTGGCGGTAGAAGGGCGCGGTCGAGGCGGAGCGGGGCGTGCCCGGGATGGTGCCGCCGGCTTCGCGGTGGGCGCGTGCGCTCGAGAGGGACGAGTCCTTGCCCCCCATGGTGGAGTGACGTTGAAAGGAGGGGAGGGGGTTGGTGGCAGAGAGGCTGATGTCGATGTGCGCTGCGGAGGCTGCAAATATGGACGCAGCGACAAGCAGATGAGAGTTGCAGAGGTTGGTGCTTCAGGGCGGTGCTCTGGGGCGCATGTCGACCTGGGTGAATGGTGTACTGGCAGCTCGGGCTGAGGGAGGGTTGAAGTGCAGCGCAGGAGGTGAGCCCGAAGCGTGGCCGGCTAATTCCAAGATGGTGCGCCGGGTCGGATGCGAGGCGGTGATGGTGGTGGTGGTGGTGGTGGTGGTGGTGGTGACAAGCAGCGTGACGGCGGCGGCGTGCGGGGAGGCCTGGCCGGGCAAGCACGCGCGTCGGAAATCGGAGATGAGGCTGACGGTCCCCAACAACCAACGCGATGAGGGGGCTTTGATGGCGCCCGCCCGCCTGCTGGCTGCATGCACGCTTCGTCTGGACCCGGATCACCCGGCGCTGTCGATGCAGGCAGGGGCGCGCCCAGGCAGGTAGAGTTCAAGCAGCAGCAGCTCAGGCGGGCAGCAGGGCGGACAGGCAGGCAGACAAGCAGGCAGGCAGACAAGCAAGCGAGACCGACACCTTTGGCAGGCTGCGCCCGAGGCGGCGGGCCGGCGTGGGCGCGTGGGTCAAAGACAGGGGCTGCCGCTGCTGCCGCTGCCGCCGCTGGCACCCAGGCAGGCAGGCCAGAGGCAGGCCAGAGGCAGGCCAGAGGCAGGCCAAGGGTGGAGGTCAACACCCTGCCTGCGATTCGATTCAGCCTCAGGGGCCAGACGAGGTCGAGGTAGGGGAGCAGCAGCTTGGCCTGCCTGCCTGCGCCTTTCTCTGGTGCTGCCCGCTTGCCTGTTTGTCACCTGCGTCCAACTTCGACGACGGCGACGACGACCAACGACGGCGACGCCCACCGACGCCACCCCTGGCCTCCTCCTCCTTCTTCTCCCTCTCGTCATCCTCCCCAGTGGCCTCCTCCTCTTCCTCCTAGCCTTGCCATCAACGGCTGACCCGCTTGCCCCCGCTGCTCGACCCTGCCAGCCCGCCCTCGCAAGCATCCACAACAGCAAGCAGGCCATCCTCGCACGCCCTCGCATCGTCATCGACGACTGCCACGACTGCCACGAACCCCACCAGTCAGCGCCATGTTCGCACCGCCCGTACCGCCCTCGGGTAGCAGGCCAGCATCCGCAGCCTCGCACCACCCTCCCTACGCTCACCAGCCTTACGACCTGCCACGATCCCCCATGCACAACGACCCGCCAGCCAGCCGCTCAAGGCACAACTCGTACTCCTGGAGGCCCGACGCAGGCCTCCCCCCACCGCCAAGCCAGATCGACGACCTCGGCGACGACCTCGCACACCGACTCATCCCCTCCCCTGCTCACCACCACCACCAACACCAACACCAACACCATCACTCCCACCATACTGCGCCTCATCGCTCCAGGTCGCGCTCCCCCGCGCCCCACTCACCCTCGCGCTACGACCTCGAGTTTGGCCACCACGACGACTCGTCTACCCACCACGACTCGTCGCCCATGCCCCTCAACTCGGTATCCAAGCACCCCAAACTCAAGCTTGAAGTCGTCCTCGCCAGCAACATCTACGAGGCGGGAGGAACCATCAGCGGCCGCCTCGAAATCACCTGCTCCACCAGCCAGAAGCTCCGCCTCGGCGAGATTGCCGTAGAGCTCGAGGGCATCGAAGGTGAGTAGTGCCCTGCACATGCACCGTGGCCCTTGCTGCACCCACTAGCGGCCTTGTTGCATCGTCTGCGCACCGTTAGCGCCCCTAGCCTGCTGACCCCCCTTTTCCTCCGCCACCTGCCCGCCGCCCCGTCACAGAGCTATCGTCGAGGGATCACGCCGCCACGCAGCTCTTCCTCTACAACCGCACCCTCTTCCAGGGCGAGCACCTCCCTCCCTCCAACGCCGTCCTCCCCGCCGCACCCCACAATGGCTACTGGACCGCGCGCAAGGGACGCACCACATTCCCCTTTAGCTTCCGCCTCCCCTCGACGGCGCCCTCCAGCGTCGCCTTCTCCGGCAACGCCGCCCTGCGCTACCAGCTCAAGGCCTCCGCCCAGACATGGTGGAACGACGAGAGGACGGTCGTCACCTCGCGCCGCGAAGCCTTCGTCGTCGAAAAGTGGTCCGACGAGTTCGACGAAAAGTACCGCCAACCCGCCGAAGCCATCGGCGACACCCGCCTCTTCATGGGCGGCCACGGCGCCGTATGGCTCGAGGCGGGCGTCGTCGAACAGCTCTTCTGGGGCGGAGGCCAGGTGCTCATCCGCTGCGGCATCAAGAACAACACCAAGCGCCAGGTGGCGGGCATCAAGGTCGCCCTGGCCCGCCGCCTCATCTTCCCAGTCGGCAGCGCCGACGGCGCCCATGACCGGCCCGATCAGGTCTCGCTCGAGCCGCGCATCACCGAGGTGGTCCACGAGCAGCACTTCAAGGGCCGCGAGTACGAGTTCCCCCCGGGCGAGGAGGCCGTCTGCAACGTCGCCGTCGACGTGCCCCGCGACCTCCGCACCATCCGCAAGACGCGCCTCTTTGAGATCCGCATCTTTGCCCTCGTCAGCCTCGTGCTCGGGTCCTTTGCCAAGGATCTCACCGTCGAAATCCCCATCTACGTGGCGCACACCGCCAGCGTCCAGAAGCCGGCGCGCGCCGATCTCGACCAGCTGCATCCGGACCCCGCCCGCGGCAGGATCCCAGACCGCCCGCATTCCGTGGCCGGCCACACCTCTCACCATCATCCTCACCATCCACACCACGGCCACCAGCCGCATCAGCACGAGCACTTCCGCGACCACCCGCATCACCAGCAGCATCATGCCCCGCACCATGATTACGCCCAGCTGCTGGCTGACCCGCAGATGGCGGCAGTCGAGCAGCATGCCGCAGACAGGGGATGGTCTCCAGCTCCGGTCCATCCCGGGGGCTTTACGCAGATGCCATCACGACCGGCGAGCGCCGCGCGGCCGGGCATCATTCAGCTGCCGAGCAGCCCGCAACCGTTTTCGTTCTCCAACGTGGCACCCGGCCAGCTCGAGTGGAACCCCGCCGCCACCGCTTGGAACCCGAGCCAGCTGCTCCAAGGCGCTGCGATACCGCGCTCGGCCAGTGCTGCCCCCAACTTGGGCTACCCGGCGATGCAAGGCGCGCCTGTGCTTTCAGCGGCTCCACAGGCCCCGATGCAGTGGCAGCAGCCGGGCGCCGCTTCGCCACAGCCTCTGGGCTGGCAGCCTCCACAGCGGTCGTACTCCGTCTCGCCCGGGCCCATCTCGCCGGCGATGCAGCAGCAGCCGCCGCCCCAGAGTCTGGTCATGGCGGCGCTCAGCGTTGCACCCACCGCGGCGGCATCGTCGCACCTCTTGAACCAGCAACCCAGACGTGCATCCGGTCCCGGCTCCTTTGCCGAGGGTGCGGAATCTATGGGCGCCGGCGGGTGGTCGCCGCAGCCACCGCAGCCGCAGCAGCCGTCCAGCTTGGCGTCCGCGTCGCAGGAGCAGCTCGCGAGGATGCCCGAGCCCGGCGCGACCCCAGCCCCGGCCCAGAGTTTGGACTCGGCGAATCTGGCCCAGGCCCCGCCGCAGCCTGGCTACGCGCCGGATCCTCTAAACACCGGCAGCGGCGGCGGCTTCGGACCCGGTCCAATGCCGCTGGTCGGCCTCGCCACCATAGACGAGGATGGCGAATCGCAGGCCGGCACGGTCAAGTCGATGGCCGCGCTCGGCACCCTCGGCAAGCCTCAAGGCAGCCCGAACGCGGGCAACAGCGTTTCTAGGAACGACATCGAGCAGTTCGAGGCAATGGCCCGCGCCGAGGAGGACGAGGAGGAGGTCAAGCGCCGAATGGCGATGCTCGGCATGATCCCCGACGAGTCCGCCTTTCGTCCTCGCAAGGCAGGACCGGCAACCCGCGATCTGGCGCGAGACAGCTTCGACAGGTCAGACCAGTCAGCGCCTGACGCATCGACACGAGCCCACGATGTCGCGATCGCCAAAGAGGCTCAGAGCCTGCCAAAGCCTCCTGTCCCGTCCGGCAAGAGCCAGGCTGCGGCCTCGTCGTCGCGACCCCGCGCCAGCGACATCTTCGCGACGGCGCAGAAAGCCAGGGGCGAAGGCCAGGACGCGCAGGCTGCGGTGGCCGCCCTCGGCGACGGCTCGAGCCCTGCATCGAGAGCCGAGGCCGAGCCGTTCTCGTCCTTACAGCGCTCGGCCGAGCGGGAGCGGGAAGCCTCGAACGCGTCTACCAGGACCGTCCGACCCGACGCCAGCTCGCCGCCGTCCGGCCGCAGGTCGAGCCTCTCGCAGGGCAAAGGCCTCAGCGCGCTCGAGCACAAGCTGGAGCGGTCCACGACGCCAAAGATCACGGCTTCGCCGTCGATGCCGGTCATGACGCTGGCCAACCTGGGCCACGACGATGACCGACGATCCAGCAGCCCGCTCACCTCACCCGGCAAGACAGGGTCCGCCCGCTCGCGCAAGGAAAGCAGCAGTCTGCGAGCCGCGGCCGCGGCCAGGGAAGCGGCGCTGCTGGAGAAGGAGCGGCGCGAGGCCGAAGACGCCCAGCGGCGGCGTGCACAAGAGGAAGAGCGTCGCCGCACCGAAGAGGAGCGAGCGAGGCTCGAGGAGGAGCACCAGGCCGCCGCCGAAAGAGCCAAGGCGGCCGAGGCAGACCGCCGCCGTCGCGCTGAAGAGGAGGACCGACGCAAGCGAGAAGCAGCTGCCGCTGCAGCCGCCGCCGAGGCCGAAGCAAAGGAAGAAGAGGAACGCCTCAGCCGACAGACGCAGAGGCAGATGCAGCAACAGCAGGAGCAGGAGCGAGGGGCTGCCGAAGCCGAGGCGCGCCGCCGGCAGGAGGAGGAGCAAGAGGCCGAGGAGGAGCGCCGTAGGGCGCGCGAGGAGGCCAAGCGCGCCGCCGAGAGGGAGAGGATTGCGGAGGAGGCCAAACAGGCCCGCGATCGCTCCGAGGCGAGCCGGACGCTGCAGAACATCCCGGCCGCGCACAGCAGCAGCAGGAGCCGGACAACCGACGGCCGCCCGCTCTCGGCGTCCGCTTCGCCGGCGCAGAGGCAGGCAGCCGACGGCGTGACGCAGCACAGCGCGCTCAAGAAGGAGGCGGCCAGCCGCGTGGCCGGTTGGCTCTCGAGCAGCAACTCGCCTAGCCCCTCGCTGGCCGAGACGCCCGGGACGCCGAGCTGCTCGGTCATCTCGATGCTGAAGAGGGACGATGCGGGCTCCAGCAAGCTGTCGTTCCCGGTGCGCTCGCCGTCGCAGGTGCGCAACCCGCTCTACCAGTCTCCCACGCGCTCGTCGCCGCAGTCGTCGTCGACACCGAAGGCGGCCGACGGCGAGAACGCAGCGGCGTCTGCGGCCATCCCGCGATCCTACACGACGGCCAACATCGCGTCGTCGTCGGACCGTCCCGAAGGCGCCTCGCGCGAACGCGCAAGGTCCTATGTCCACATCGACGAGCCTCTTCCGGCACTGTCGGCCGAGCTGCGCGCCTTGGTCGACAGCTCGGACATCCAGCCGGCTCGACGGGCCGGCACGGCCCTGCGCGACCATCCGATCAGCCGCAAGATTTCGACGTCGTCGGCGCAGGCGGCTGACGCGAGCCACGAGGCCCGAGCGGTCGGCAGCACCTCGGCGTCCCTGTCGGCAAGCACCCGGCGCGATCGTCACACCTCGCTTCCGGCGTGGCCCAAGCCTGGCCTCCCGAACATCGGCAGCGGTCGGACACCGCTGCCGGGCCTGGCGACGCTCGACCAGAGCTCACTGCCCGCTGCCAAGGCGGCGGCCACGACGACGACGGCCACGGCGGGACCGAGCGTCGTCAACAAGGCCCACGTGCAGCCTCGGCGTTCGGTCGACATCTTTTCCGGCGCGGACCGCGAGATTGTGGTGCCTTCGCGCGTCGAAAAGACGCTCAGCGTGGCCAATGCCGCTGGTGTCGACGGCGGCCAACCTTCTGGGACCTCGGGCCCTGGCGGCTACGATGCTCGGTCGGCGCGAGGCGGGCGCGGCGGACGGGTGGCGTCGGTGGCGCAACTGTGGTCCAGCATTGCAGGCGACACGGTGCCCGATGCCGGCAGCGTGCACGATGGTCCCTCGCCGCCGCCCCCGTCTGGCACGTTTAAGCCCAAGGCGCGGCGCACGTCTGCCGTCGGCGGTGCGCCTGCGCTCGACTTTAGCAAGAGCAGCAGCGGCGCAGGCGCCAGCGGCAATCGCAAGGGCGCCGTGACGACGATGGCGGCCGCGTTTGCCTCGCAGGTGTCGAGCGGTGGCAGCTCAAAGCCCGAGAGCCTCAAGAGCGGTTCGGCGCCGCAGTTCCTCAACACGAGCGCGCCCAAGCCCGTCTTTTCGAGCACGAGCGCCACGTCCGTATCGCCCTCGCCGTCGGCGTCTTCGGTGGCGTCGTCGTCGTCGGTGTCTGTGTCGATGTCGGCCTCGACCTCGACGAGTGCGCGCACCGGAGGCGAGCGGCGTCCGCTGCCGCAGCCCAAAGCGAGCACGCTGCTGGGTGGCGCGCCCGTCTCGGCGCCGCGGCTGGTCCGACCGATCCCGCAGTCGCCTTCCAACTCGTCTGTCGCCTCTGCCGCCTCTTCCTCTGCTGCAGCACCACCGGCGGCGGGGGCCGGACGAGAAGGGTCGGCGCGTACGCGCAAGATCAGCAGCGACCTCCTATCCACCTTTGACCGACCGCCGCAGGGTGGTGCTGGTTCCGCCGCCCCGAACAGCGGCAGCAAGGTGGCGCTGGACTCTACGATCCTGGATGCGCTGGCGCACCCGCCGCCGACGACGGCGAAGCGGACCTCGGTCGTGGGCGACGAGAACCTGCGTCTGCCCATCGCCGGGGTCGGCGAGGTCAAGATGAGCGGGAGGGGCACCACAAAGGCCATCGGGTCCAACAAGCTCCGCGACCTCAAGGCCGTCTGGGGCAACTAGGCGGTCGCCGGGCCCGGGTCCGCTTGCCCGCTGTTGGCCCCTCTTACCTTGCCCCGCCCCGCCCCACCTCTCTTGGCTTGGCTCGGCTCGGCTCGGCTCGTTTGCGACGACGCAGTGCGGAAGAGGGGTGAGGCTCCAGACGTGCCGGAACGCCACGCCCCCCCTCGCCCGCGGGACAATGGTTCATCCTCTTCCCTCTTTCTTCCTCTCTCCTCGTCCTATCTCCGCCCCCCGCCCCCTTTCAGAACTGGAATGGATAAGACTGTACGAGAAAAAGGACCGAGGCGATGAGATAGTGGTGTGTGGTGTAGTGTAGTGTAGTGTGCTGGGGATAAGGCAGGCGGGCTCTCCCGGTCCGTTCTCGTCCGGTCCGTTTGACTTGATGGCGTGCGGCATACGGGCATGGGTTCCGTGGAATGGTGAAGCCGGGCGATGAAGGTAGGCAGGCAGGCAGGTAGGCAGGTGGGATAGATGGTGTTGCGTGGCGTCGGAGACGTGGCGGGTCGATGGGCGGGTATTGATCCCCGCCCCCGCCCCTGCCCCCGCCACCATTTCGAGCCCTGACCGTCATACGAACTCAGTCGACAGTAGCAAAGAGGATGTACCTGATCCATCACCCGAATCCCAATGCAGCCACAGAGGGAAGGAGGAGAAAGCGAAGGAGAAAGCGAAGTCAGATGGAGGTGCGATGGCGAGGCCGGTGCTGATGCGAATGCGAATGCGATGCCCAACGCTCACCCTTTATCGGCGAGCACGCCGCGGTCGCGGATCAGCGTCGTGTACTTGAGCACCCACTTGGGCCGGAGCGTCGCGCCGCGATGCGGCAGCGGGTGTGGCAGCTCGTCGTGGAACTCGTTGAGTAGCGTCGGCAGCGTCCGCGCCGGTAGTGGGTCTGCCACCAATCAGGAGCGGAGCGCGAGCGGAGCAGGGCGCGGCAGAGCAGGGCAGAGCAGAGCAGGACAGGGCGGAGACAGGTCAGTCCCTCGATCATGCATGAGCCCATACGTCGCCCCGTGGGCCCGCACCGGGACCTCCAGGCCTCGGACGCTCGCACTCACCTCGTCGGTCGCTGTGCGCAATGAGGAGCATACCCTCCTGCTCGCACCACGCGCTGAGCGAGCGGTCGAAGCCGCACGGATCCGTCTTGACGTTGATCGTCACCACCCTCGGTCTCCGCGAGGCACACGGGATGCTGTACGGCGCCAGCACCGTCGCCTGGTCCTTGGACAGCGTCGGCTGCATCGGCGGCGCAGCGGCGCCTCCCGCCGCCGCCGCCGTCGTCGCATCGGCACCGTTCGCCTTGTTCGTCGTCGTCGTCGTCGTCGTCGAAGGGATCGCTGCGCCAGGTGGCGGCTGCGGTCGCTGCTGTTGAGAGGGCGGCAGCGGCTGCAGCGGTGGGTCGAGGATGCTAAAGAGGTGGCTGAGGCTGGGCTGCGAAAAGTCCGACAGGCCCAGCGAGAGGAACTGCGGATTGGTCGAGATCGAGTGCCACACCTTGGCCACCTCGCCGAGCGCCTGCCTCTGCTCCTCTGACGCTTCGCCGCTGCCGTTCGAGAGGGTACCGTTGATATCCTGACCTCCGCAGCCGCCGGCGCCGGCGCCAGTGCCACAGGGTGGGGCGCGACCGCCGCCGTTGGGCTGGTCGGGGCGAGAGTGGGTGCGCTGCAGCGCCCGTGCGCGCAAGCCGTCGAGGTCGAGGGTGGGGAAGGCGACGATAAAGGTATCGAGCGTGATGAGGCCCGTCGTCTTTGTGAGGCGGCCAAAGGCGTCGTCGATCCACTCTGGCGGGAAGCGGTCGCCGCCGGCCTCGGTGTTTTCCGAGAGGTAGAAAAACTTGCCCGTGATCTCGTAGGCGCTGCGCAGGTCCGGGCTGCACGGGTCGGCGACGGGGTTGTTGATGGTCGACGGGTTGGGCAGCGTCAGCGTCGAGGTGCGCTGGTCCCACAGGTACGAGACAAAGGGTCGTTCCGGGTCCGAGGTGGGGAAGAAGCCGGGTCGTGCGCGCAGATGGCCGTTTGCTGTGGCAGCAGCAGCGTCGTCGGTCGAGGTCGAGGTCGAAGCGGCTGCCGCTGACGTTGAGGCTGGCGCCGACGGCAGGGACTGGGACTGGGACTGAGACTGCGACTGCGACTGCGATGCCTGAGTGCGGTCGTTTGTGTAGGTTGAGTCAGAGGTGGACGGCATGGTTGCGAGCGGGTCGCAGCCGCCGCTGTGGCCGACGGTGTGGAGGCCCCAGTCGTCGTGGTGGCCGTCGAGGGCAAAGTGGAGCGTCTGGTGAAGGGCGTGGGCCAGCTCGCCGTCCGACGAGGGCTTGAGGGAGCGCGAGACGTCGTGGGTGTGGACAAAGAGGGAGCGGAGGGGAGCTGCAGCTGCGGCTGCGGCGCCTGTCGCCTGCGTCGCCGCCGTCATGCTTGGTCGAAAATGGCGGTGGTGAGCGAGATGAGGGTGGTGATGAGGGGGATGAGGGTGGTGCCAGTGGTGTTGATGACGGATGGCGGTGGTGGCGGTGGTGATGGAGTCGACAGGCCACGACAGCGTGTTGCCGCGTGGGAGCAAGGCTGGGCTAGGGCGAGGGATGAGGGAGCGAAGATGGTGGTGGCAGCAGCAGCAGCAGCAGCAGCAGCGAAGACGGAAAGCGCGGACCGACTTTTTGGCTGGCCAACCGATGGGCGCTTGGCCGCTTCGCTTTGGCAGAGAGAAGAGACGTTGGTTGGGTGGCCAGGGCGCGAGGCGCCAGCTCGCCGGTTCAAAGAGAGGGTCAGATCAGGCTGGCGAACAATGCAGCCTCGGGGGTCCCTCTCTGTCGGATCCCTTGGAGCAGGCAGCGATGGGATGACGAGCCAACGTAATGCCTCGGATGGTTGGTCGTCGTCGATCCTGATTGCGGGTTGCGGTTGCAACCGGGGGGCCGTCAGTCGAAGGGGGCTCCCCGCTCTTTGTCGCCCTTCTCCCCCCACGGCAGACGGTCCGAGAAAAGCAGGACAGGCAGGCAGGCAGGCAGCAGGCAGGCAGGGGGGAAAAACCCCGTCGCTCTCGGCGTTAAGGCCGGTCGCGCGAGCGAGCGAGCGAGCGAGCGAGCAGGCAGGCTCACGGCCGTTGGTGCCTCCTGCTGCTGCTGCTGCTGCTGCTGCTGCCACCACCACCACCTCGTCACGCGCCCAGCCACGCTCCCTCTCGCTCGCCCCCCATCAATATGTACAGATAGAATTGAAAACACCGAGAACCGCATCGCAACGCTGCGGACCGACAACGAAACGATGCCCAGTCCGTCCGTCATCAACATAAGATCGACGTCATGTACAAACGAACAAACGAAACGCAAGCAAACGCAGACCAGAGGCGTAGCGGCCCCCGTCCCGTCCCTGCTCTTCATCTCCTTTTTTTTCGGCGTCGTCTTTCTCTTTCTCCCTTTGTCTTGTTCCGGTGCTGAGAGCGGATCATCCGGGCCTGTCCTTGATCCAGAGCAATGTTCATGACGTGCATCGCACCTCGAGGTCGTTGTCGCGGTCGCTGTCGTATCAACAGATCAGGGGCGGTCCAGCGGCGCTCGAAGGCGAGGCGGCGATGGCGGCTGCCCCAGCACGCTCAAAGCAGATGGCCGGCCGGCGCCGCGACGCCATCCTCTTGCTGCGCCAGCTGCTGCCGCCACCGCCGCCGCCGCCGCCGCCGCCGCTACCGTCGTCGTACCGCGGCAGAATGACGCGGGGTGCCGAACGAGGTCCGAGCGAGGCTGCCAGCTCGAGGTTGGCCAGCAGCTGGACGAGGTCCGGTCCAGCTCGAAGCCGAGTGGCCGCGCAGGTCCTCGATGCCGAGCCGACGGCGGTCGCCTCTGGTCGGGACGTGCGAGGAAAGCGCGCCATCCGGACCGTCGCGACGCCGTCGTCGTCGACTTCGACCGAGGCCACGCGCGAGGCCGCCAGCGAGACCAGGTCGGCCAGGCTGCGGCCCCGCAGGTGCCCGCTCTCCTCGTCTTGGGCCAGCCAGGAGAGCAGGCGCAGGCAGTCGTCGTCCGAGGCAATCGAGACCTCGACGCGGGCATCCTCGCGATGCATCCACCGGTGCAGCGCCTCGAGCGGATCCTCGGTCCAGCCGCCTCCATGCTTGCCGGCGATCGCGCCGGCGATCGCCTCAACCTCAGCCTTGGTCGCGGTCCGTCGCAATCCGGCGCCGGCTGCGCACGGTGTCGCAGCGGCCGGCGAGTCTTGCTCCTCGTCGTCGCTGCTGTCGCTCTCCGAACCCCTCTCGGGATCCTTGGGCTCGGCCGCCGCCTTCAAGCGCGCAGGAAGGAAGCCGAGCCCCAGGCTCGTCCGCGCCGTCACCCGGCGGATGATGATGCTCTGGTCGGTGGGCAGCGAGTTGTTGGCCGCCCATTGGAAACCCGCTCCCGCCACGCCATTGGCATCGCGGGTGGCGCTGCTGCCGCCGCGGCCCTTCTTGCGGAATGTGAAGCCGCCTTGGCCGGCACCGTCCACCTGGACCTGCGCATCGACCTCCATGTCGGCGTCGCCGCGATCCACCGAGGGCGAGGACAGACTGCCGGGCGCCGGCGCAGTAGGGAAGGGCTGCGTGCCGCTCGACTGCGACACGGGTCGGTGCGGCCCTCGCTGCGATGCGCTGAGCGAGTGCGACCACGAGCCCCAGAAGCCGGTCCTGGCCGAACCAAAGACTTCAAAGTCGACGCGCGCGCCGCGGCTCGAGTCGCACGAGACGCCCACGCCCCAGTCCGAGGTGCGATCCTGGCCGTAGACGAGGGCGAGCTCGTCGACGTCGATGTCCTCGGCCTTGCCGTAGGTGGCGTGGATCCAGTTGCGGTGCGTCTTGACATAGGCCTTGAGCACGCCAATGTGCTTGAGCACCGAACGCTCGGTCGGGTCGCGCGGGACCAGGATGGCACCGTCGCCGCCGGACGTCTCGAAGCTGATCTTGCCGCTGACGGGTGCGCCGGGGACGCTGGCGCCGAGGCTGAGGCCGAGGCAGCGGTAGTTGGACGACATGCGCGGGCCCATGTCGAACAGCTTTGGGGCTTCCTGATCCACCTCGAGCGGCAGCGGGGGGCCGGGTCCAGCGTCGGGGGGTGTGCTGGACCGGTTGCTTGGCCTGGGCGAAGGTCGTCGGCTCGACAGCGACGTGGGCGGGCTCAGCGGCGAGAGGATGTCCGCGGCGATCCGCGGCGAGCGTCGAAGGGCGAGGCTCGAGCTCCGGCTGTCGGTCGGTGGCTCGGATCCAGTCGTCGATGAAGCCACGCTGCTGCCGCCACGGCCACGGCCACGGTCACCGCCGTCTACGTCCATGTCGTCGTCGGCGCTGCTAGCCGCTCCACCGGCGACGCTCGCGAGCGAGCTGGAGCGGCTGCGGGAGCCATCGGAGCGGGTGGCCAGCTCGATGCTCGCCGCATTCGACAGGGTCAAGGGCGGACCGTCGATGCAGTTGAAGAGCGTGTAGAACGTGCCATGCCGGAGGTAGCCGACGTCGCCCAGGCGCAGCGGCGATGGGTTCCACAGAGGCAAGCCTTCGCTTTCGCTGTAGAGGCAGGTGGCGTAGATGTCGGCGTAGCTCGGCCGCGGCATGCGGTCCGACGGTCGACGCTGTGCGGAGAAAGGGGGGCAAGAGAGGATGGACCAGGCCTCGCCTCGCTCGACTCGCCTCGTCTTGACTCGACCTGACTTGCGGCGGGCTCTCGGGAGGGGGTCCCCCTCACTTCCTATGCGCCGAGGACCAGGGAGCACCTGGTAGGAAGTAGGAGGGGGACTGCGTTCGGCTGCCTCCGCCCACCACTCGGACGTTTGGAGCTTCCGAGTGGCCTACGAAGGGTGCTTGGGGGTCCGTTACCGGTCCCGATGGCAGCCGAGGATGGTAGTGAGGCCTATCGCCCACCGCTCTTTGTCGCGGCCTCTCGTTTCCTCTTTCTCTGTGTCTCTGTGTCTCTCTTTCGTTCTCTGTCTGACTCTCTGTGCTCTGCGATCGGGGTGGCCGATGAGGGTGGAAGAAGGGGTACCGTGTGTATGTCCTCTCTGCGCCGAGCTGCGGGGGATGGACCTGCTCTACACTATGCGCCTGGAAGGTCTGTTTCTCTCTCTCTCTCCTTTGGAGTCGTGGTGAACGAGGAAGAGGTGGTCAGAGAGAGCAGACCGAGTGGCGGATGTGTACGGTGAGCGGGCGGGCCCCACCCCGTCGGGCAGAGGGGGACGGCACCCCTTGCTTTATACCCTCGAGGCTCTTTGCTCGCGAGCGATCAGAGAGAGAGAGAACGAGGGAGAGGGACAGAGGTACGAAGGAAGAGGGCAGAGGGGCAGGAGGGGGGCTGGAGCAAGGCCAGCGGGCGGATGGGAGAGGTGCAGAGGAAAGGTGCGACGCGGCCCCCGGACCAGAGGCAGGCGAGCAGGTCGGGTGGCGTCCGAGGTCGATGCAGTCGCCGCTTTGACTTGACCTACAGCATCGATCATCCGCCCGTCTGCCCGCCTGCCTGTGGATGCCTGCCTGTGGCTGTGATGGCCGGCGGGATCAAGGTTCTGCGCGGGCGCTAGAGGGGCATAAGCGAGCGGAGCATTCAGCTAGACGCGGAGCAAAAGCTTTGCCGCCGCCGCCAGACACGCCGCCGGACAGTATCGCAGCGGCGTCGCATCGTACACCTCGTTATGTTCCTCGTTTGGCCCTCGCGCGCATGCAGGTCCAGTCTCGAGGTAAGTTACGGGCGCATCCAGCTCGCAGCTCATACCAGAGTAGCCACCGCGGAGAGTGGGCACTCGGTGACTCGAGCGCGTGCACCCCGTAACCAACTTAGCGGCGGGTGGATGGATGGATGGACGTTGGGAGGCCGCGAGCCGAAAAAAAGACAGGCAGGCAGGCAAGTGTTGGTCTCGCCAAGCGAGCGAGCGAGCCGCTTTCGACTTGATGACGCGCGCGTTCTCACGGCAGCCTGACCTCCCAATAGAGCGTTTCGACGGGATACCCATGCATCCTACGCAGTATTGGGTGATGCTCGCAGACCAAGGCGGGTCTCATACGGGTCTCTCAGTCTGATGTAGGCGACGAGGGGGAAGACAGCATCGCTCCGAGCAACACATTGTGGGGTTCCGGTAGCATGCAGAGCCAAGGCGGGCGGACGGCCACTCACACGGCGCACAATCGCGGCCGTGTGGCGGCAACAGGGGCGACTGCGAACCTCAACATCTGGCGTAGAAGCGCCCGTGATTCGTCAACCGAGACCGACTCTCTCTATCAACTGGCAGCGTACTAGTCGGCAGCGCACGAACTGGCAGCGCACTGACTGGCCGCGAAAACCGACCCGTGCGGGTACGACGCCGCGACCCAACTCAGTACTCTGGCCCACCACGATCGCCCGGGGCGTGGTCCGGGTTGTTGAGCATGCAAAAGTAGTGGAGCACGGCGCCGCTGAGCGGCTCGACGGCGACGACGGCGTTGCCCAGCCGCTTGTGGCAGCGCGGACAGGTGCGCATCTCGCCCACCTTGACCCGGCGGCTCTGCAGGCGGCACAGGGTCTCGTCGACCTGGAGGTCGCGCATCGTCTGGATCTGGCGGATCACCTTTGCCTCGTTCTCCCGCCGCGTCTGGTCGCGCAGGTTGAGCCGCACAAAGCTCTCGAGCGACTGCAGCGAGACGAGCGGCGGTAGCAGCTCCAGTGCGCTGATCAGGTCGATCCGCGATGCATTGCGCTGGATCAGAGATAGCGCAGCCTCCAGCTGGTGGCCCTCCGATGAGGAGGAAGACGACGGTTGCGCGGTCATCGCCGCAGCCGATGCAGTCTTGCCCTCGCCAGCGCCGCCGCCGTTTGGACGAAGGTAGACCTGCAGCAGCGTCAAAAAGACGCCCTCGTCGGCCTTCCTCCGCTGCTCGTCCGTCATGTCCCTCTCGCGGCCCCGGTCACCGCCACCGGTGGAGGTGGCCTGCCGGCTGCCGCCCTGCCTCGTCTGCGTCTGCGGCTGCCGTGGCTGCAGTGCCTCTTGCGGAGTGCGTCCGAGGTAACCCAGCGTGGCTCGACGCAGCCGCTCCGCCTCGTCCAGCCGCTTCCGCGCGCTCCACACATCCCGGCAGTAGCCCTCGGCGCGATCGAGGTCCTTGAGCTTGCGCACGTAGATGCCGAGCGCGCCCTCGTGCTGCCCCATCCGACCCAGCAGCAGCGCGCGCGCCTCGAACATGTCCCGGTCGTCGTCGTCGGCGGGCACGCGGCCCAGGATCAGCTCGGGCCGGTACTGCGACGAGCGTCGCAAGAACGCGAGCAGCTTGGCCATCACCTCGGACCGCTGCTGCTGCCGCTGCCGAGCCTCGTCGCCATCGGCGCCGCCCTCGCTGTGTCTCCGTTGCGACGATAGCCGGTTGGCCTTGCGCAGGTAGAGCCGGATGAGCTTGTCGTGGAATTCTGGATCGCCCTCGTCGAGGACGTTGATGATGTGCTCGAGATACGTCGCGCAGAGGTCTTCGTCAAAGCGTTCCAGGTCGGCCACGACGTCGCTGCGCGGCAGCGACGCCACCTTGCCCGTATCGGCCATGAAGATCTCCATGCCGAGCTTCGGATCGCGCTCCAGGACCCAGTGCGACGCATCGAGGATCGTCTCGATAAACTCTGGGCCGAGGTTCTGCAGGTAGCGGATCGTCGGCCCCACCTTTTCCTCGTCGTCGTCCTCGTCTTCGCTAAATTGGCGGAGCAGGTTGAGCGCCTTGCCGTGCATCTCCTTGCCACCGTAGAGGGCGATGAGCTCCGACAACTTCTTGCGCTCCTTGAGGAGGCCTTCGACCTGCTCCACCTCGCACCAGTTTTCCACGCGGCACAGCGGGCCCACGAGCGCTGGCTTGGTCTCGAGGAAGGTCTTGAAAAGGGCCGTGTCGACCGTCTGAGCCACCGCCATCAGCTCGCCCTTTTCCAGCTGGCCCAGCGGCTTGTTGGGCAGCGAGAGCAGCCAGTCGCTGTCGTGCTTGATCTGCGACATAGTCATGTGGTCCTTGGACTCGAGGTGCGGCAATGACTCGAGGATCGGCTTGAAAATCCGCCGGCGATCCGCGAGGAACCGGCCCAGGGCGTCGAGCGACTTTCGCCGGATATCTTCGGCAGATGTTCCCGCAGCAGGCTCTTTGCCCCTCTGCTGCGGCTGTCTCGAGTCCCGCGTCGTCCTGACAGAGCGGATCGACGCCGTGTCGGCGTTGTCGGACTCGCCAGCCAGGGTCGATCGCCCTCGAGCGTCCCTGGAGGGGCTCGGTGCAGGCGCTGGACTCCCTCTGCCGGGTGATGGCGGTGCGGATGGCTCGCCGATGATGCTCTGCGGTCGCATGCCGGTCAGGAGCGCGCTCAGCTTGCTCCTCGGCGTCGGCTGAACGATCCCGGCGTTGGCGCTGCGACCCGCTGGCGACGACGACAGCGAGCTTGTCCCTGTCGTCGTCGCCGCGGAGGGCGGCTCGATGTCGGCGACTTTTGCCACGTTGGGTCCGCCGAAGATCGGCAGCCACTCGTCGCGGCTCCTCGAAAGGTCTCCTGCGACGTTGGGCGGATAGAGGGCGAGCACCTTGGCCGGGTTCATCTCGAGCTCGGTGAAGATCTCGACGGCCTCGTCGAACCTGTTCTGCGAGAAGAGATAGACGCCGTAGAGGCCCTGGACCAGCGCTCGCCGCTCGGCCTTGTCCTCGAGGATGACCTCGTCGACGCTGTCGAGCAGCGCCAGCGCCTCCTCGAACTCGCCCTTTTGCAGCAGCTCGTCGATCTGCTGGCTCCAGCCGTGCATGTCGAGCCGCCACACGGTGCTGCCGTCCCTTTCCTGCGCTCCGCGGTCGGTGGGTGAGACGACGACGTAGATGGGCGGCTTGTTCGAGGCCGACGTGGTGAGCAGGCGGACCGAGGGTGGGGCCGAGTAGCCGGGCGGCGATGTCGGCGAGAGAAGGGGCGGGAAGCAGAGGGTCTGCACAGCGATCAGCGTGCTGGCGGATCGCACCTGCAGCACGGGAAAGGCGGCGTTGGGTGCCGACGACTGCTTGAGCGATGGCACTGATCCCCCGGGCAGCACCGCAAAGACGTAGGGCTTGGCGTACGCGACCTCGTCTGGCGCGGCCGGCCATTCGATGCCGTCGCGGCGGGTGGGCTTGCCATCGGCGCCAAAGAAGATGCCGGCATGGTCCCTCATCACCAGCACCTCGCCACCGTCCATCTGGACGACGGTCGACTTGCCCTTTCCCGCCATGCCGATATAGCCGCCCAGACCGCCGAAGGCTGCACCGAGACCGCCACCGACGCCCGAAGACGCCTGGCCCGAGCTCCCGGACGTTTCGGATGCGGTGCTGGGCAGATCAAAGTCGCAGACGTCCCACACGTCGGGCCCTTGGGCGGTGAGGTCGACCAGAGGGCCCGAAGAGGAGCTGGGAGGAGGCTGGGCGTGGACCTCGCGGCGTACGCTGGCGCCGTTCTTGGGCCCTTGCGAAGCCGGGTGCGTGAAAGCCACGGTCGACTCGGACGCCAGAGGGACGGAGAGCACGCCGAACTCGGAGGCGTTGTAGCCCATGAAGAGCTTTGTCGGCGTGGGAAAGGCGAGGTGGCGCGGCGTGTGGGCGAGCGGGACCTCGCGCGTGTCCCAGAACTCGCCGTCGACCCAGCGAAACAGGGTGACCTTGCGCTTGGAGCCGACGGCGAGGACGGAGACGAGCGTCATGATGCCCTCGTTGGGATCGCCGGTTGCGTTGCCGGCACCGCCAGCGCCTCCGATGCGGGCTCCCTCGACGGCCCGCCTACGCTCCTCTTCCTTGTGCTTGATGATGGCGTCCATGCCGCGCAGGCTGGCCGACTGCCAGCCTCGAGAGGGAGAGTCGGGCAGTCTGGCGCGGGTCCTGGAGGCTGAACCGCCGCCGACTGTGGAGCCGGCGTCGAGGGCGGCGCCTGGGCGGAAAGCTTGACCAAGGGTGCCGGCGCCACCAGGTGCAAATCGGGAGCCACGGATGGAGGCCATGCCTCCGAGAGGGCCGGGCCCGTAGTCGGGCGCGCGGGAGGCGAGTTGTTTCTGGATCGAGGTGTCGATGGCAAAGGTGAGGGCGCCCTTTGTCTGTGCGAGCTGCATCTGTGGGCCGAGGGTGGAGAGGTCGTGTAGTGAGACGTAGCCGTCGGAGAGGGATACGAGGGTGTTTGTCTCCTTGATGACGCCGAGGCGCTCGATGGCGCGGCGCGAGAAGCCCTTTGAGACCTGGATGGGCTCCGAGACGGAGCGCGGCTGGATCGACGACGAGTTGCTGAAGGACGAGTCGCCGGGGCCCGCATCGCCGCGTTGACGGCCTTGCCCTTTGGCGTCGCGGGTCTCTGCGGTGGTATTGCGGGTTGCATCGATGCGGTAGACGGAGAGGTTGCCGGTCGAGGAGCCGAGGAAGAGTTTTGCGCCGTGGACCAGGATGGCCTCGGGCCTGTCGCGGTAGCCTTCGAGGAGCGGGACGCAGTCGAAGGCGGTGTGCATCGTGGCGGGCGGCGCGCGGCACGGGGACCAGCGCCGTGGCGTCTTCAGTCGTAGCGTGACGGATCGGAGGAGGTCGAGGGGATGGAGCGGGCGATGGCGGTGGTGGCGGCGGTGGTGGTGTCGAGCGAGGCGAGGTGGCAGGCGTCGGCAGGTGGACCCCTCTGTTGGCCTCCCCCGGTTGCATGTGGAGTGCCTGCCAGGCCAGGCCCGTGCCCTCGGTTGGCCTCATGTCGCGCTGTCGGGCCAGACCTTGAGAGACTGCAGCACCTGGCTGCTGCCAGTAGTCGCGGGTTCGATCCGCCTAGGCTCCGCTTTGCTTTCTTTCCCCGTCCTGGGCTGGATCCGACCCCGGCCACCCCGGCGCGGCCTCGTGCTGCACAGCTCGACGAGCGCCTCTGGTCCGCCCTCTGGCGAGTCAGCCTGACTCGATGCGCGGGGGGAAGGCCTCGAGGAGCATGAGCGGGCAACAGGGCAGGCACAAGCAACAGGGCAGGCAGGCAGGCAGGCAGACAGGCAAAGGCCGAGTTTGTGTCGCCGGCAATTTGGGATCGGTGGTGCATCCGCGCGCCGACGGAGAGTTTTCCCTCGCCGTGCGTGGGCGGGCGTGGGTGGCCTCGTCTGCCTCGCCTTGCCTGCCTTTCTTGCTTGCTTGTCTTTTCAGCTGTCTGTCCGTCTGCGCCGCATGGCATGGCACAAGGACGAGCAGAGGCAGGCGAGAAGACACGGATGGAGCCGACAAGCAAAGACGCTGGTGGTGTGCCTGGCCCTGGCCTGGCCTGGCCTGGCCCTGCTGCGTGGGTCGCATGGCTCCCACGCCGTCGTGCCGCCCCGCCGTTTGTTTCCTTCCTTGTTGAGCTCCCGGCTTGCTGCCTTCCTCTTATCGACGGCAGGGTGCCTGGACTCGGACGAGGGCCGCGTATAAAGAAGCCGCCTGGCCTGGCCCCACCTCGTCCTCGATCCCGCGCCACCGCATTGTCTTCCCTCCCCTCCTCCGTCCTCCCTGGCGAACCCTTCACGCCCCTCTGCTCCCCCCTCTCTCTACCCTGCCCCGCCACACTCTGCCGCCATGCTCGAAGTGAGCCAGGCCAATGCTCTCGTCTACTCGACCCTGTGCGGCTTCATGCTGGTCGGCCTCTTTGCAGGCTACCGCGTGAGAAACACCGTCGACTTCCTCAGCGGCATCCGCACCCAGAGCGGTGAGTTGAGCGTGACCGTGCTGCCTGCTACTCGCCCCTCGCTTCCTCTCACGCCTGCCTCCCCCGCACACCTCGATCCACCGCAGCCTTCCCGCTCTGCCTCAACTGGATCGCATCGAGTTAGTATCCGACCGCCGAGGGAATCGGCCCAACTCTCTCCCCCTTCAACCATCACAGCCCATCGCCCTCCTCAACCAACGGGTAATTGGCGCTCCTCGCTCGACGGCGGTGAAGATGTCGGCCCCACGGCTCCATCCACGCCTCGAATGCAGGTAGCAGCAGCAGCAGCAGACGACAGAGGATGCGACATGGTCGCTCAACTGCTCGGTCGGTACGTCCCAGTCCTCCTTTGCGCTTTCGGGTCTCGGTTTCCCTATCTCCCTCCCCTCCCACACATAGCCTCTTGCCGATGCCTCGACTTTCTTGGGGCGGCGTCGTGGTGTTGGGCGTAGGTGGATCTTTTGGGGACGTTGCCGCTCCTGCTCCTGCGGCCGGGCGTCGCGAGAGCGCAAGGCAAGGCCAGAGCGGCCCCGCCGGCGACCTTGTCCTTCCGCTCGCGGCGACTGCGTCAGCCCCTCTTTGTCCCTGCTCGAGTCTCTTCACCCTCCGCAAGGAGTTGGGAAGACGGCAGGGCGACGAGGGGCTGGCGCCCGAGTGCTGACCCTGCTCTTGCCCGTCCGTCCTCGTCATTGCAGCAAGCAGGCGCAAGGCTAGCCGAGGGTTTTGGTCCTCGATTCGTGGCCTCTGCTTCACCCGAGCAGGACCGTATCGGGGTCGTCGCCTCCCTCGACCGCAGAGAAGCAAGGATGCAACTCCCCGCCCTCCCCTTCTCCACCGCGCCGTCCCAATCAATTTCATGGCAACAGCTACGGGTGCTCGCAACCTTCGACCTCGGTGGGCTCCGCCTCTCCCTCTCTGCTCGACTCGACTCGAGCAGAAGGCGTGGCGAGGCTACCGTGCGTCATATGTCGTTGGCATTTCGCTTGTCCCGCCCCCGTTCTCGCCAGGTGCTCGGCGGCCATTCCGACTCCTGCCTCGTGCCGTCAATGGCAGGGGCAGGGTTGAGATGGCCCGGCTGCTCCGAACGAGCGGAAGCGAGGCAAGCGGAAGCCGACGACAGGGGATGCAGGGCTGAGATACATACCGTCATCGTCCGGACGATTCTCGACCTCGGCCAAGCGGCACGGCCCGTCCTCTGTCGCGCTCCCGTTCCCTGCTCCGCTGGCCCCCTCGCGGGCGAGCGTGAGCGGGGGCAACAGTGGCGATCAGCGAGGCGGGCCGTGGATCCTGCGACCGCCGAGGGTCCGAGTGTCCGGTACGATAAGACCTGATCGAGCTAAGACTCGCGAAGGGAATGCTGCACGCCAATTACTCCGTCCCCCTCCCGTTCCCACCCCTTTCCCTCATCACCCCACCGCCCTCTTTTGCTTCTTCTTCCGGCCCGTCGCTGCTGCTTTCGTCGGTCGTTGCACACAGCTCCGCACGAGGGGAGGAGTGGCGGGCGAAGAGAGCATCGATGGAAGCCCCTTCCTCTTTCGCCGCTCTGCCCCTGTTCCGGTTCTGCGGGGCGGGCTCCCGAGTCGATGCGGTGGCCCCAGTGGCGCGGCACGCCCGCCTGCCTCTCTGGGTGTCGCTGCAGCGTCCGGGAATCCGTCCCGGTCGCCCTCGCCGGCAATACTCACGCCCATGCCCACCTTGTCTTTCCTTGCTCCCGCCTCCCCTCCCCCCCCCCCGCACCNCNCNCNCGCNCNCTCNCCTCNCNCNCGCGCGCGCGCGCGCGCGCGCGTCGCGCGCGCGCGCGTCGTCGTCGTCGTC